TCATGCAACTGCCTGACAATAGCCACGGACGTTAGCACTACCTGTGGGCTGAGGTCAAGGCAACGTAGTTTAGCATTAAAACAAAAGAGCTAATTGGATTCCTGTTCAAGTTCTAGCTTATTATGCCATCGGAGTTACTTTTCTTCTTTCTGCCTCAGTCGGCTCATCTGGAAGGGAGGACCACGGCGTGACTCATGACTGAAATGTGAAAGAAAAATACAGGGCATATGCCTGGCTTATTTGGCCATGCTTCCTAATTTTCCTGTCCCTTTCTTTTCTTTTTTTCTGTTCAGGTTTGTGAATTCCAGGCCATTTCCCTCGGAGAGCTGAAGCACAGCTCACCTTGTGAAATGAGAAAGACTAATATTAAAAAGGAGAAGCCATCTTCAGCTGTAAAAATTACATGTCTTGCTAATGCCAAAATTAATAATACAGAGATATTTGGGGCTTACACTTCATTTTTACAGCTGACAGCGCACAGAATATTTTATAAATAAGACTAGATCACATACCCCAAATGTTAAAGAGACATCTAAGCACTATCCCTGTTCCACCGAAGAGAAGCAGTAAGACAGAATAGGTAAATGAGCAATAGAAGGAGACAGAAGAAATTCCCCACTGAAAAAACAAAACCCCAGGATCTGAGCCTCCTTGTTTCTCAACCGATAAAGACTTCTCTATCCCAAAATAGGACAAAATAGTTTGATTAAAGCAATAACCTTCTTTTATATTAAATGGCATGCAAAGCTCTCTTCTGTTTGCAGAGGAGCTGAGAGTCACCCTCTGAAATGGCTGTTGTGTGACTTTCAACGTAATATCTATCCTTCCAGCGCGCCAAAGGAGAGAGCAAAGCTATCTGTCCTCTGCCTCAACGTGTATGGTCGTCTCCGAGGAGTTCATACAGACGATCAGAGCAAAAACCATCAAATGCACAGGTGTTGGGATGTGGGGGGGGAGAACAGTCCCAGCTCAACACCAGAGCAGACTGGGTTGCCACCAGACTGCAGCAGAAGGAACCTACAACCCCTTGTACGTCCCTTGCACCGCCCGGGTGAGGACCCGCGCTGGCTACGGTCTGAGGGCCCCCGTTACGCTGAGCTGTGGGCTGCAGCCTTCCCTTTGGATGTCCTCACCCCCCCGTCCCCTCACACACAGCTACCCCCAGGCCCCGGTGCTGCAGCAAATGCCTTCGTTGTATTTCTGGAAGGGCGCCTGCAGGCTTCGTCCCTGTACACACGAAGGGATAAACAGGCGCATCCAGCCACCGCAGGCCAACCTCAGTTCCCTCTGCAGCCACGTTTTTGTTACGAGCTGTGGCACACTGTTGTGCCGTGTAAAAAATGCAGTGTTTCAAAGAACTGGTTTTAAGTTCAAAGATAATGTCATGTTCATTTGGAACATAAGCGTGAGCGAAGCACTTGCAGATACACTCTCTGTCTCCCCACATCTCAGCCAAAGGCAGGGTGCTAATACACAAAGAGAAGAGCAGGTGGGATTTTTTTTTTAGGTGGGGAAGAAAAGGACTTAGAGCTCTAAAGCTAAGTTCACTGCATATCCCACATTTTGGAAATGCAACAAAAATGTCTCCTGAATTGAGCAGACGTGCTGCAAAATAAAAAGAAACAATGGCATGTAGATAAATGCAGGGAAGTCGCTGATTAAGGCACAGGATTTTATTTCAAAGGAATATGGGCAGAGACTCAATTTTTCATGACTGCTTCAATCACCTGTATGAAGGGGCCACTGGACTTACACAAGCGAAAGCCATTTATCCACTTATATTTGGTATCTCTCAAGGTCTGAGTCCTTAAAGAGCTGAGAAATAAGTAGCTTTCAGGTTGGCACCTACCTAAATAGCCTCACTTGCTGTATGTAAATGGTCTCAGTAGCCACAGAGATTTCGCTGCAGACATTTGCTCTGTGCACGTAACTCTGACACCATTCAGAGGAACAGGCTGAGGACTGATCTCCCTGTGCAGTCAGGGGAGAGATAAGCCCTTAAGTGGGATGAAAGAGAAGTTGAAGGACGAATCCAACGATGTAACGCGCTTTCTGTGAGCAGGCAGTCCCCATGTCAGAACTTCAGTCTCTGATTCTCCACTCCCTGCCCACTACGTTTTACAAAATGCTTGGGAAAAACACTTTTCACATCATCTTCTGCACATCAGCAGTGTAAGGCAATTAATCAGGGTTTCCAGAGCCACGTCATAAATCATAGCATCTTGTGTCACCGATACCAGAGAGACAAAACGTGAGAATTGTTCCATAACAATGTCCTTTAACTCAGGCAAAATCACTTTGTCCTTTCAGCCTGCTTGCAAACCCCACTGCTGGCAGCCCGAATGGCCCGGCTGCAGGGGCTGGTCCTGACCCCACAGATGCGGCCGTGCATATTAACTCAGAAGTTTTGCTGTGATGAATGGTCACATATGCAAAATCAAAATGGAGCCTTCAGAAGATCTTTTACAATGGCACGGGAAAATAATCTCCCCACGACTTATTCCATTATCACAGACTAATTGGAAGACCTGGACAAGACCCTCCACGTCATTAGCTGTCTAGGGCATGAGAGATCTGCGGCAGACGAAATCCTTCACCGCGATGGCTGGCGTAACACAGGAGGGATCTCAAGCCCAGGCTGTTAACTTCACCCCTCCCGTTCCAGAGGCGATGCGCGGTGGTGAAATATCCCCAACAAGGGATTCAACAATTATGTTTAGAAACACAAACACGGAGGCCTCCCACCAACTCAGCTGATTCTTTTGAAAGTTGGCACTGTCAAAACAAACACAGCCGCCTGTAGCACCCTTCCACTGCTCCTGCTGACAGCGCTAGTGAGGAGGAGGAGGTGCTGAGTACTTTGTTATGATGAGGAGGAGGATAGTGTTGGGAAAGGTGTTGAGTTTGACACAGAAGTATCAAGAGCAGGAAAGCGAAAGTCAAGGAAATCAGCATCGTGCCATCTGAAATTGCTCTGGCACTAAACCTACAAAAATCAATGACTCTGCTTTCACAGTAGTTTTCACATAAACCTGAGGGAGCGTACAGCACGAGTTGCACCAGATGGAAAGTCACTGGAAGTAGAGAGTGAAGCAGGATCAACGGTGGTTCCTATCAGCTACATCAAATGCAGTACTCACAAACAGTAATGATGCCCATTCACTGCTGTCCCTGCCTTTTACGTCTGCTGCACCAGTGTGGAGGGAGAGACAGCACGGGAAGAAAATCTGTTATAAAAATATCTGCTGGTATTAAGAGGATTGTTTACACTCTTCTGTATTTGTGCCTCTTATTTGAGTAAAAAAAATAGGCATTTCAGCAGTCTGCATTTGAGGTAAGAAGTTGTTTTTCCCTGGTTCCACCTTTTCAAATCCATTTCATAACAGCAGCATGTCTTCCTTTGCCCTCCCTCACAAAAGCAATCCCCCCCCACATGCCACATTTAAAACCTTCTCACAAAGAAAACTGAAGGAAAATAATTTTTGTGCAACTTATCCATCTTTCAAAGCAGCTTCTGGCAGAAGGGAGCTGAGAGTGATGAGTCCATAGAATAATAAATAATAACAATATTGAGCAGTTTTGCAGAGCAAATACACATTGAAAAACTTTTCCTCTTGAGTGCCTGACATTATTAATTTGTTCTCCAAATACACTAGTGAGGACAGTCAGCCCATTTTTACAGACAGGGAAAGTGAGCATATAGATTTAAATAATTGCTTAAGAGACAGAGGAGTCAGTTCCAGAAACTGGGCAGAACAACTCACAGGAGATCACAGTCCACATCCATACCGATATTCGGGCAGAGCCCTGCCACCACAGTACTGGCGAGTGACACATGCACGGGGGTTTTGACATCTGTGAATAATATCCTCTCTGAATTGCCCTTCCCTGGGGTCCAAAAGGAGTATGTCCTGGGCCTTAGGAAGACGCAAAGGCTGAACAGAAGTTCCTGTAATTATTGATGAAAGAAGTATTTCTAACCCCTTCCCAGCTTCTGCTTAAAAGGGTTCAAACTCATCCTGATCTGCTGCCTAAGTAATATATGACATCCAAACAACCCATTTTGACTTGCACTGATCAGGGACATCCTTTCCCAGCACTCCTCTGGAACAAGAGCACTTTTTTATTTTTCACCATGAGGGCTTTGCTGTACTGTTTGCAGTTCCATTACTGCACAGCAGAGATTTCAGATGAATTGAGGGGAGGGGGAGAAGACCTGAAGTGACTTGCTGGATCCACATGAAATGGTTAGTGAATGACCTTGTGTCCAACCTTCTCACATCTGAGACAAAAGCATGGAAAAGCCGAACAAAGTAAAACTTACTGAATGGTGTGTGTGTGTGTGTGTGTGTGTGTGTATGGGGGAGAGAGGGCAGTTTGGGTTTGTTTGCATAGGGGGAGAAATTGAGGTTGATAAGCAGCTGGTTTAATTTTAGATCTCTCCCTGTTTCATAGCACTTGTAATAGAGTGACAAAAGTAGCAACAATTTCCAGGACCAGCACAACACTAAAAGCAGGTCAAAATTCTGCTTGCCATACTCACACTAATGAGCTCTGAGAAACTGATGGATTTAGGGATTCCTGTATGGACAAACAGCATTTGCCCCAGGTTCCCCTTCATAATGGCTTGGTGATGAAACCAAGCTTCACCCTCCCTTTTTCCTCGTACCATTCCTTAGGAGCCAAGTTATAATGCAGAAGTAACCCAGACAGAGCATGGCTATTCTGCATCACCTCCTGCCTGCTCCAGGCAATTGCTTGCACTGGCACACCGGTGTGATATGGCACACGCTGATGCTAGGGCTGTTGCTTTTGCTTTTTAAAGCTATTGATTTCCTGCCCTTTCTTGTAAAAGATTCTGTGAACTGGAAGCAGTTAAAGGTTAACTGCAAAGATTTCATTTAAAGGAATATTTTAAAGTTGTTTGAGATCCTAAATCATTAGTAGTTAAAAAATGCGCTGAAATTTATGTCTTAAGGCAAGGAAGTTCCAAGAGTTACCTGCCAATACGAGTGCACCAGGCTCTCTGCTTGCTCTGCTACAGCTTGGCTCCCGCCGGCAGCCCCGGCTCGGTGTCAGGTCCTGGCAGTAGTGCTGTCTGTCACAGGGGATCCTCCACTTGGGATCTCACTAATAAGAAGAGGAAGAAGAAATGGGGTTTACTGTCTGGCAGAGCCTTAGACTAATCGAAGCCTGGTGTTTCGGTGAGAGTAGTCCCTGGGAAAAGGGGAAAACCTGCCTCTGCCAGCACTCTGACCCTGCAGTCTGGGTGACCGAGTAGAGGCAGGAAGACACAAACCTCACCCCATGGCAGAGAGACAGCACCTGCACCAGGCCACAGTGACAGCTCCCGGGGGGTGCTGCGGGAGGGAGCAGGAGAGAAGCAAAAAGAAATGTTGAAGGGACAACATGCACCGGGCACTCCTGCCAGAGGGTAAGAGAGGTGAGGAAAAGGACGGCTGCCCAAAACACAGCATGCACATGTGTGCGTGCGTGGAGGGGAGTTTGCACATTTCTTGTTTACAGGCTGTAGCTCTACAAACTGATGTTTCTCTTTGGTTGAATTTCCCTGTCAGGCTCCTTTTCTCTCTGCATCGTTTTCTTTGCTTCATGCACCAATGTAGGCCTTAACAAAAGAGGAAACTCCGCTGTCCAAGGACACCCAGGGGAGACGTTTTGCTCACCTGAGGACCTGAGCAAGGATGTGGGGCTTTTTGTCTGGGGAGGAACCTCCTGACAACGAACCCATCAAGCAGTGCTGCTGGCAGCACCTGGCAGAAGGGCTTCATCCTGCGCATCCTTTGGCAGTTTTTCCATGAAGCGGCTGCAAGAGAGCTGCAGTACAGATGGTCCTTCATTTGGGGGTGTCTGGATCCAGACCTTTCATTTGGGTCTGTCTGAAGGGAAACTGCCTTGGAGATATGCAAATATTTTGTTTTTTAAAGCTACACAGACATGGCTCAACCCATTTTTCTCCTCTCCTCCTGCGCCCGTTCCACCTGTAGTCAGGCAAAGCAAAGGCTTCCCCTGCTGTAACCAGAAATCCCTCCACCTCTTTTGGCTCTCTGTCCCCAGCCAAGCCCTAGCGGCAGGGGGCACCCCACAGGGCAGGCTGCAGGAGCAGCAGAGCCCAGCAGAGCCCAGCAGAGCCCAGCAGAGCCCATCAGCCCCAGAGCACTGAGCTTTCCTTAAGGACTCCCAGTGAAAACGCTGCTCTGCGCTGGGGCTCTGCCAGCCCCGCACTGGCAGGGTCAGAGCAGAGCAGAACCTGGGTGCACGATGCGGTCTCTGAACATAGCCAGTAGGATCTGTCCCCAAAAAGGATTCAGCCACAAGAGATTTATCCATTCCTCTTATCAATAGTTTTTTTCAATACTGCTTTTTTACAGATTTGTTCTACCTCTTAAAGAATTGCTTCTCGATGCAAAAGCAGAATGACGAACACGGCTTCCTTTTCCCTGCTGAATCCAACTTCGAAAAACATAATGCTTCTCATCCCATCTCCTCCCCAGTCAAAATAAGCCAACCAAATCCTGCAGAATACCTATCAATACATACAAAAGATGCAGAGGTGTTTTTGTGGCAGAAGTAAACACAGTTTAAGGAACGATTTTCCTTTTGTGACAGCTTAAGGTCCTTCAAACTTGGCAGAACTGAGTACGGAATCAAAGCACAGGAGGACAGGGAGCGGCGTCTCCTTGCACACAGCGGCACGGTCAGATGCTCCACGTGCTACCAGCAAGGAAGCGAAATGCTTCAACTACCAGTACGGAAAACCCAGAGAAAAAAAAATAAATAAAAAAATAGGGATATCTTGGGATTCGCTTCAGCATAACATCCTACAGTGTGTTTACTTTTCTGTTCTTCTGCATCTCGTATTTCTTCATGGGCTCAGTCCCCAGCCTCGCGGGCCCTCCCAGGAGTACAATGCCCCTTCCGCGGATTGTACCAGTGGCACCGGGAGTGCGGCAACTTCAAAACATAAAAGGAAAAAAAGAGTCTCCCTCAACGCCATCATCATTTTTAAAAAAGGCAATTGATGTCGCCTGAAGCAGCAGCTATGAAGCCCAATTATACCACATTTCATTCAAGTGTCAAAAATTGGAATAATAATAACCAACACCGAGGAGCACATATAGGAAATGCTGCTGCCATCTTCTTTTGTTTTGGCCACGCGTTTTCATAAATTCGTGCTTAGAGCAGACCCAGTGCCACATTCCTTCAAGGACTTTCTTGTTCGCTATTGTTTTTGGTTCCTAACAATTGGCTTCCCTGCCTACTTTCCCCGTGTTGACAGTCGCTCACAGAGCCTCCATATGCTCTCACTACTTGAGTAGTCAATCATTTGTGAATTAGCTACCCAATCAAATATCTAAAAGAGGCTGGTAGTGTTTATTCATTGCTGGTGTTTTGAGTGAGTGTATTGCTTGCAAAAGGTGTCAGATTAAACATGCAGAAATGAATTTATTCACAGAATAGGGATTGCATAGTCAGAAGCGGAGCAACAAGCACCGGCCTGAGCTCACCCTGATTTTTTCGTGTTTTTTTTTTTACACCATGCCTAAGGTGAGATGCCCCCGGACTCGGCAGTCCTCAGCCACCTGCTTACTTAAAGTGGGACGTTTGGAAGCAGACTGGAGTCTTGGTTGGAAGCAAAAGAGCAGCTCCAGGGGTGCCTCGGGGTGGAGGACAGAAAGGTTAAAGCAATCAAAGACATCCTGATGGAGTGTTTTTTTCATCTTAGATCATGGAGGTGCATACCGCAGCCCTGTGAAACGCTTTCCCCTTCCCATCAGCAACACATCTGCATGCTCAGGTGCATGGACAGAGCCTTCACAACCCCCTGAAAAGAACACGAGAAGCACTTGCACACGATGCTCTGTATGATCTCAGACAAAAGCAGTCCTTCTTTTAAGGTCTGCCTCAAAATACCAACACAATACTTTCCTTAGCTGTCATTTTGAGGGAATTTAAAAGCATTTTAGTACTGGCCAACATAGCCTCAAACACGCAGTGCCAACCTGAAGAAGAGCCAAGCTTTCATTCAGCAGAGTTATTCCAAATCAGGCTTTTCATTTGCATGGCAGAGAGTCTGCCAAATTCATACCTGAACACAAATTGTCACGGAGCTGAAGTATGCAGCTTGGGTGAAAGTGCCTCTTTTTATAAGAAAAAGTCAAAACAGTTGAGGCAACAAGGCTGTGTTTGGTGATCTCACTTCATAGCCCAGGTTTATGCTGAAAGATGAGTAACAAATATATCCATCTGGGTTCCATATTTGTCACCCTTGCCTGGCTTTAGAGATTACCAGTAATCTATTTATAAGCAAAAAAAAAAAAAAAATACTGTAACTGCCAGTCCGAAGAAAATGTCACTGGTGATGAGAGAATCGAGCTGATTTCTTTTCTTCTCATGAATCATTGTCACAATAAAGGGTCTGCATGACAACTCTGCCCTTAGCAATCATTGAAAAACCCAATTCCTTTGAAATTATGACTTGCCTGGTCCTTATATTGATAGTACTTGATGATGATGACAATGATGCAGAGGGAAAAATGTAACTTAGCTGCTTGTCATAGTTCTTACTTAGGCTGACTTTCAGCAGCATTTACTATTCAGTATTAATAGAAATTAAAATATTAAACACTTACTCATTAAGGTATGCAGATATGATTCACAGGAAACTAGTAAAAAAATGCTATTTTTAAGTGGAGATATTACAGAGATACTTCAAGTTAGAGCTTCCCAGAAGAAATACAAAGGAGTTGTTTATTCAGCATCAGCTGGAATACCAGAATTTGTTTCATTGGTAATAGTACATCAATACATATTAGGCCAAAGGCAATTTTCCTGAAGTTTTCCCTTCTTCAGAATTCATGAAAGAAATTTAAAACACTCAAGGCAAACATTCAGTGCTAGGGACAGTAATGTAAAGAATCAAAGTGGAACTACCTGGATTGTACATTAAATAAAAGGCAGAGAATGAGCACTGAGTGAATTTTTATATGTTCGCATTACAACAAACTAGTCAAAGATTCTGACCCCTGGCACTGGAGAAATCTTCCCAGTTTTGATATTTTCAATAAAATAATTCCCAAGAGGGCTGGGAAAAAAAAAAAAAAAAAAAAAAAAACTCTCTCTCTCTCTTTTTCTTTCAATAAAATGAGACACCATCTGTATTATGAAAAAGAATACTAATAATTTGATAGTGTTCTGAAGTAGCTTTTATAAAGCTTTTGCTTGGGATTTAATATTGCCCAGCAAGTCCATCAGATTTGCACGGCTTTGCTGGAGACAGAAAAGTGCCGCGCTGAATGTCAGCTCCTGGCTGGAGCAGGCAGCGACTCACGCATCAGCAGAGATGAGGCTGAAGGCGATGTGCTCCCATCTCCTCCAGCCAGCCCAGGCCAGGGGGAGGGACGTGGAGAGGAGCTAACTCCAACATTGTGGGGTGGGTGGGTCCCACCTGTGCTCGAGGAATCGCCTGGAAAGTAGGGAATGTGTTCCCTGAGCTGAAATGATGACAGAAGATCTCTGCTTTTCGGGCCCTGATGGGAGGAAGGCTTCTCGGTGCCTCCCTCTGAGCCAGCTGGACACAAATATTGGAGCGCAGTGCAAGAGTATTACCTCCGGAAAAAAAAAAAAATAAAAAATAAAAAAATCAGGCAGCAGTGTGTAATAACAAATAGGTGCATGCAGTCAGAACAATTAATGTCACTTTACAAGGTCTTTTGGAAATATATCAACAGAGGGAACCCACAGATGGCTCCTTTTCAGCGCGTTTTGGATGGGGGTAGGATGGGCCAAGCTTCTGTAAATCCCAGGCTGAAGGACGAGAATGACCAAAACCAAACAAACAGAAAATAGAATGAAAAAAGGGTGTTGGGAGAATATTTTTTTCCTCCTGAATTCACTCTTTACAAATAAAGCAAAATAAAATTGGGCATGTACATCCAGGGCAAAGACTGAATTGGAAGATAGACGGTCTAATGCAACAGAGAGTGGCCTGGGATACACGAGCTGACCTGTAATGCCATACTGCTGGGTAGAGGACCAGAATTTTCCAGTGCTCAGCACCAATTAAGGCCAGGTTTGCAGAAAACGTCCTTCCCAGGAGGGCCAGTGTAGCA